GTTTATAAATATTCTTCAATAAATCATATCTCCTTCTAAGCCTATACAAGGACAAACTGTTACATACTCAAATTCTCTTGCCTTCTATAGCCACACTTTGCTCAATATCCTTGCTACTCAAGAAAGTGGTCCAAAAACTCGAAGCAGCAGGGCACCTATTGGAAATGCAGAATCTCAAGCCCCAACCCATCCTGAAACAGAATCTGCAGTTTTAACAAGATCCCCGGGTGACATGTGTCTGCAATTTACAAGAAGCCTTGCTGGACACAGTCATACTCCACCACTACCCCAACCCATGGAGACTCTAAGGCCCCGATGACAGCTGTTGCTGGGACTGTAATAATTCTATGGAGCCCGTGGATGTCTCCAGGCTAATCCAGCATCATTCCTAGACAGGATCCTTGACTGAAAAGGACTAGACCCAAACCACACAAGTGATGGGGCTACTGTATCTAATTAGAATAGAGTTTAAGTCTAGTGAAGGAAAAGACCAAACAAATCAGAGTCCTGTAGTGCAGATGTCATTACTACAAATGCAGTGTATGTTACCAGCATTAGGGGAGCTAAGATTACTAAGGAGGAGGATATTTCCACTGTAGGTCATCTCTTCTAAAACAGTCAGAAATGGCACTTTGAAATACACACATACCCACAGAACCCCATTCTGACATAATATGCCTCATATTACCTAAAAGATCAGGAAAGTATGACCACAAGATAAGAGAAATCAAATCAATTTATTCATTTTAAATTAACTGTAACTTGGTAGTGGTAGTAGACCTTTAGTTAGAATTTTCTCTACATCTATTTCTTGGTTATAGTTAGGCACTTTTTAACAAGGCTCAAAAGCACAAAAGGCTCTGCCAAAAGTATCGGCTGTAGGGTTCTGTATTGCTCCCTGCATTGTGCATTAAGGCTTTGTGGTGAGCATTCTGTGGCTCTGGTGGGGGCCACGCGGGGCAAGGGTGGAAGCATGTGGAAGCAGCTGCCTGGTTCCAATGCTGCTTTGCAACCGACTAGGCATGTGACTTGATTTCTCCATGTCTCAGTTTCCTCATCCGTAGAGTGAAGATGATAACTGTACTAATTATACAAATCTGTTACAGGGATTTACTGAGTGAACACATTGAAAGCACTCAAAAACAATGCCTGGAACAAGTTAAATATTATGTATCTCCTGGTTTGCTGTTATTATCTTATAGCTGAATATCACCAGAAGCCAAGGTGTTTCACTGGGAGTCATTCTCAGGGCAACAGGCAAAGGAAAGCATGTTCGTCACACTTATTTCAAATATCACTAACAGGAAAGGTCACCTGCTGGCAATTGGGAAATTGCCAAATATTTATTCCTTTGACACCACCTGTAAGAAACCCAGAAGGGTATGGGGACTCAGTAAGGTAATTAATAAAATGTTGGCCCTGAATCTTTAAAATCAGAATCCAAACTAATGCCTTACATTTAAAAGTCTTCTACAAACATCTGTAGTTATGAGTTGTCTTCCTTTTGGACTCAAGATAGCCTGAGTTAAAACCAATAAACTTTATCTTCACAGGTCAACTGAATTGAACCTAAAGAGTGTTGAAGCCATCCACCATTAAAACCACTAAAATCAGTTTTAATAGTGTACCCATTTTCTCAAAATGCTACATATTTTACTAGAAAAGGAAATTGATATCCATGGGAAAAGCTTGATTCATCTTAGAAGCTTGCAGCCTATAATGTATATAATATAAATTAAAATTGTACCATTTGTTAATTTAATTTTGCTATTTTTCTGATCCTCAGGAAGGATAGCCATTTCCTTATGTGTTCTATTGATTCTTTTAAAACAAATAGGAATTCTGCTGGGGATTTAGCTCAGTGGTTCCACAGCCTGCCTCGAAAGTGCAAGGTTCTGAGTTTGATCCCCGGTACCAAGAAAAGAAAAAAGCCAATAAAACAAATAGGAATTCTGATAACTCATTTTCACAGATGAAAACCAAAGCTAAAGACATCACTCTCATTTATGAAATCATTTAAAACTTTATATTATATGGTTATTTACAAGAAAAGGTCTATACCTAACAATTAAATAATTGCTCATTGAACTCTTTAAAAATACTTATAACAAAATATATATTTACTATCTCTGTACTCCTATTCCTCAGCCAATTCAGCAGAAAGTTAAATTTTATGTTATATAAAAATGCATTCCTTATTTTAAAAACTCCCTCATAAAAAGCTAATAATTATGTTGCTTAAAATTTGTAATTCAGAATGTTTTACTGTAATTTTGCTTTCCTAAAAATATGATTAAAATTTTAAATTGCTAAATGATATTCTGAAATACCATGAGGCTTTTCAATGAAATGAAAATAAAATTTCTGCAACAGATTATAAATTTATTTTTATGTACACAGTAATTTACATCTCAATATAGTTAATAAGATTCCCTGAGTATATTGTTTTTAACTTAAAGTGACAAGAATTCTACTAGAGCTTAATCATTGGTCAATCAATTGATTAGCAAATTCTGTCACTTCATCATCACGGTATTTTAAGTAGCTAGGAAAATTCAATACAGAAAAATACCAGAGCAACCACAGAACCTGATAGCCTTTGTAACAAATGATGGTTGTTTCAGGAGGTTAGCTAAATACACTGCTGTATTCCTTAAGAGCCACAACTGAATCTTTACCCTATGGCACCTTTGATGACTGTAAGTCTCTTCCAAGAAGCATCATGTTACACATACCAAGAGGTGAGCATCATATTTTTGATAAGTAAATGTGGGATTCATTTGTAAGAAAACATAGTTTAATATTTATGAGAATAATTGTTCTTCCTGTATTTAATGATACCAGTATAGTCAAAAGATTTGAGCTCAATTGATTTTCCAGGCTGCTCTACATAACTCTATCAATAGTAGTCAATTTCCCTTATGGGAATATGACTGTGAGTTCTCATGATTATATCAGAGTAATTCTCTCAGTCATGTCAGATACTATCTATATCATGCAGCCATCTTGCCTGAAAGCTCAGAAGGTAAAATCTATGGTTGCTTATGTCCCTTATATAAAATGGTGTAGCTTTTGCATATAGCCTGAACACATCTTCCAATATACATTAAATCATCTCTAGATTACTTATAATACACAGTAACAATGTAAATGCTATGCAAACAGTTGCTGTACTTCTTGCTTAAAGAATAATGGCAACAGAGGACATCTGTACATGTTGAATACAGATGCAATTTTTTCCCAAATACAGCATTTTCCATCTGTGGTAGGTTGAATCCATGGATGTGCAATCTGCAGATTCAGAGGGCCAACTGTATTTATTTTAAACTCCAGTGTCTTTCTTTTCAACATGAAGAAAACCATTGTATGTAGTTCATAAGGTATATGAAAAATCAAATTAGCTCATGAATGTAAAGTGCCTAACATACTGCCTAGTACCTAGTAAGTATCCCAAATGTTTTCACTTGAGAAAATAGTTTCCTTTGAGGAGGAAATAGTTTTCCTTTTAGTTTCCCATTAGGAGGATATAGCTACAATTGAAGCTAAAGATACTGCTTTCAGGTGAACTGTGTGAGATCTGAGGTCCAAAGAGTTCTGTTTGGGGACAGAGGAGCCTCTGATAAAGCACAAGGAGACCTGGGGAGGTGGGATGACCTTCGGCAGCACAGGGTTTCATGGTTTTTAGAGCAATAGGGAAGACACAATATTCTCACAAGAAACGCCTACTCTAAGTGCCTCTTAGGGAACAAACATGAAGGTGTAGAAGGAAGAAGAATATGGGAAACTGGTCCTAAGCAGATGTGAGAAACCAAAGATTACTAGAAATAACTGGACCAGTTGGGACAGAGGAATGCCATGAACCCCATTTTGTGTATCAGCAGGCTGGGAGGGCCTGAATACATAGATCTTTTTTATATTCAAATATAACGACAAAAAGAAAAAGGCAGAGCTTACTAAGGGCAAAGAAGGTACAGGATCCAGAAAGTTCAGGGGAGGAAGAAAACAAGGTGAATAGAGCATTGGAGATCTGGAATGCTGAGTGGCCCTCGCATACTGGTGGAGGCCAAGTTGTCCTGGTAAGGCCTTTACAGTAGAAAAAACTGAAGAGTAAAGAGGTTAGGAGAACATGCGCATGGGGCTTAGGCCCCAGTGGCTGGAAATGGGTGGAGGGTGGTGGGGTGTGCAGAGGGTTCTGGGGCAAAAGTTAGGAAAGCAGTCTGGGATCACATCTGAATAGCTAAATAAAGTTCCTGGATTTGCTCCACCAAATGATGTGGACCTAGAGGGAATGATTTTGATTCAGGAAAACCAAAGTGAAGCTACGGATTGATAAGACTAATCTGGCTTCGTGTGTGTTATAGAAGAGGAGAAATCCATAAAGGTGTAGGGAAATGGTTAGGAGAGTCTTCATAGGTGAAGGAGGACAGCAATGAGTGTAATACACTGGCAGAACATTTCTTACTATTTTCTAAAATAGCATTTATGGGGAAAGAAAGAAAGTCTAATTATGTGGTCTATTATCCTCAATTTTCATGCATAACTTCTCCATGCCTCAATGGAGCTGTAAGCCACAGCTTCCTCATTTATAAGTCGCATAAGCACTCTTTAAGAGACACCATTATTTCCAGTGTTGTGTAATGCAGTCCTTTTCTACCTCTTTACTGTCTAATTCAGGCTTGTGTCTTGGAAATGTAACTGCCATTCTTCTGATTTTCTTAGGCATTGCATACTTGAATATTGATACATTTCTGTATAATGGTGGTTGTGATAGACCAGTGTCATACAAAAATACTGTTTTCCTTCACTTGAAGTCCCTGAAAAAAAATTATTTCAGGTAGGTTGGTAAAGCAATTCAATAGTTTGCCTGCTGCTAGCCCTACAGATTGATACACGCAGTTGGTTTACATCTTTCTGCCAATATTCGAGTAAGAAAAAAATTTCATTGAACTGGAGCAATGACTAGGTTTTCTGAGGACATTCTCATAACTACAAATACTCACTTGAACTCTTCAACAAGATTGTTGATAAAAGACCATCATTACGCAGCAGGGTTTCCAGAAGTAGAGTCCAGTTACAAGTTGGCTGGGATAAGAGCAGTTTCAATTGACCCTCGACTTTCAGTCCTCCAGCGGATGGAGTCCTTTCAAAATGCAAGATAAAGATGGAGTAATGAAGTTAATTTATCTATGAAATTAATAGCCTTAAAGTACAGATGTAATGCTAACTCGGTTAAATGTCAATTCCTCCCAGATTACTCTGAAAATGCTTTCATGCTTACTTACTTTAGGGTTGCTCAGGGAAGGAATTACATTTAATCTCAACTAGCTAAAAGCAAATTAACATTTGGTAGCCTGCCAAATTTAAAACTGATACAAAATAACCGTGCCTATATTTCACAGAACTATGTCTATTTTAGTTTCATAGAGAAAAGAAAAATCATTTATGAATTTATTTCAAATGCATTCATTTGTTCATTCACCAAATGCATAATGGGTGCCTACTATGTGCCATTAAATCCCTTTGCTATTCATGTAAAGAAGTTCCAGTTTCATGTAAAGAAGTTCCAGTGGGTTTTGTCTACTTAATACTTTTCCACATATAATGATTAGTGATGAAAGTAAGAATTCAAAACTTCTGCAAAGAGTCAACTCTAATCTAATTATTTAATAGGTAATGCCTTAACTCACCATGTAATTATCAGAACCACTACCAACAGTCATACTGCTGCCTACCTGGGTAATCATCTCATCAAGAAAAAAAAATTTCAAGATAAATAAGCTTCTTACAAAATTATCATCAGTGTTGAACAGAAAATTGAGATCAGATACCTCTATATCACCACTCATTTACCAATGAATTAGCAGGAAATCAGAAAGCAAAGTAGGAATTGCAAACTGATAAAATTATCTATTTTTCCTTTTAACATATTAAAGTTTAGATTGTCTAAAGGTTACAAGATGGGAAAGCAATTGGCAACAACAACAATGGCAGGAAATAAATGGTCAAACACTCCGGTGATGGTCACAGCCGAGTGGGTTGTGGAGCTAGGGTTGCCCTGGGAAGGAAAGATGGGACTGAGCAATGCAGAATGTGAACAGGACCACTGGATGTCTAAATGAGGGCAGAGACTATCACTGAAAGTGCCCATCTGCAGCATTATCTTTAGAGGACGTGATTGACAAAGTAAGGTGCCATCCAATTGCCAATGGGCCTAGACCTCTGAATTTCAGAGCTTAAACCAGACCAGGAGCATCAGCATCACCCAAGAACTTGTTAAAAATCCAGATCCTCAAGCCTCATCCCATCAGAAATTATGGAAATGGGTTCCAGAAATGTGTTTTAATAGGCCCTCTGCATGCTAAGGTTTAGGACACAAAGGTGTGAGTGGGCAGTACTTTCTGGAAAACAGCATAGCAGAACAAGTTAGCACCATCTTCTCTGTTTCTGTGCCTTTGTACCCAAGTCAGCCCTGGAGTCTACCTGCAATGGACTAAAGTTGTTGCCTCCAAATTCATGTTAAAACTCTAATCTGTGATGGTATCTGGAGATGGGCTTGGGAGGTAACTGTGTGACAAGGATGAAGCCCCATGAATGGGATTAGTGACCTTACAAGAAGAGACCAGAGAGCTAGCTTGCCCTTTTTCTACCCTGAAGATACAGGAAGTTGCCTGTTGGCAAACTGGAAGAAGGTCCTCACCAGAAAAAGAACATGCTGGTACCATCATGTTGGACTGCCAGGTTTCCAGAATTGTAAGAAATTAATGTCTTTTGTTCAAACTATTAGCCTATAGTATATTTGTTACAGCAGCCTGAGCTAACTACACACCATTTATCCAATGAACCCTTTACCTTAATCCTACCCAACCATTAGATGGAAGCTAAAATTTCACTTTCCCTGAGAGACAGTGGTCTTTCTTACTCTGAATTAAAGCACCCATGCCAAGCACACATATTTCAGCTCTTTAAAACTTTATGAAAGCTTTATCTCTCCACCCAGATTCATGTCTCCTGAGGACTTCCCCTAAAGCTCCTATCACTGAACTGAGCATATTTAAAGTCTGTGTGAATGTTAGCTGATTGACTTGCCTATTCATAAACGGGTAGGCAAACTCTTTTAAAAAAATACACTTTGCCAAAAGGCTAATTTTTTTAAATGAGAAGATTCAAAGATATAAAATGAAGAAGCATCTCACTCTTGGCTTGGCATTAAAAACATTTCACAACCTTGTGATGCACAAAATCCTCAGCCTGTGCTTGAACCTTGGGCCAACTCAGGCTTCCCACATGAAGATCTAAGAACAGAATAATCAGGATGACTTCTTGAGCGCTTTGTGGGCAATGTCAGGCAGGGAAACTACTGCCCTGGGTGGGCAGTGAAGAGAGAAGAGAGGACTAATTTAATGCTTAACCTGGGAGAATCAATCCACTATTTCTGAGCATCCCAGGGTAATTACTTTCCCAGACTGCTTGTTTTTGAAGGAGTTTCAAATACAGTACCAAATGCTGGAAGGATCATCCTTGCTTCCATCCTAAATCTCAAGTTCTGACTTCCAGAGGTTCCCATAGTGTGTAGCAGATGAAAAGCAGTTGGTTGGTGTTCAGTTTATTAAAACTGACTTGGCATTTGAGCATTCCCTATCTACATATTATGCTTAAGTTGAGTGCTGATGTAAGGATACAATTAAAAGATATAGTTTGACCGGAATGCATAGGGAGAGATCTATGAGAAAAAGTCAGAAGAAGGAGTTGGAACTCAGACTATGGAGGGTTTTGTGGTCCCAAGGTGAGGAGTTTAAGAAGGAGTTTCCTGATCTGGTTGCAATATGGAGAATGGATTGGAGGCAGTGAGTGTTTTTTGCTCATCCCTTTAGTCATAAATAAAACAAAATAATTTGAATGTCATTTCATTCCACTGTATCTGAATACCTGGTTATAAATAAAATCTCTCATTTACCAGATGGGAAGCTGTTTGTTGAAATGTACCTCAATTCTTGGATCTTTCAACTTATCACAATTTAAAAATGTACAGTAGAATGACTCACTTGAGGAAAAATAAAATAGTACAAACATTCCTCAATCACTGAGCTCTTAGTAATAAATGCATTGAGGAGCCTGTGTCAGGCATATGGAGAAACATATGTTCCCTCATCCTTTGAGCTGGTGGAGCTGTGAATGTGAGATCAGCCTCAAAAAATGACAGAAAGGGAAATTTTATATAGATGTATATAGGTATCAAATATGTACATGTTGAATTCCACTATGATACAGAGAACAAAAATTTGAAGTCCAACAGAACTCAGACATTTTGAATCAGAAGGAAAAATGAATTTATGGCTGGACTATATTACGATTATATTCTAATAAGTGCAATATTTCCAAGCCATGGATTAGCTTACAGAATTTTGAAATCCAAGAAGTAACGCAGCTCAACCATTATTTGCTTGTGAAACCAATAAGCTATTTTTATAGAATCATTATGAAAAAGCTATATGCAAGTATATTTACCAAAATTCATTAAGTAGCTCATTTAGAATTTCTGCAGGTTTTGGGTATTTATATTGTAATAGCAAGTTTAAAAAGTCGTGGCTATCTCAGTGCACGGTGTCCAGACTTCTGACTCAGTTGTAAAGGCTTAGGGCAAGAGAAGGCCCTGCAGGAAGTTCAGTCTATAAACTGAACAGTGCTGCTGCTCTCAGGTCCTATGACCATGGGACTCATCATCCTACCACATGTGTATCCCACAGAAGCTACTGGCTGAGTGCAACACTGGGGATAATGTCAACTGGTGTTAGAGTAATGACCTTCAAAATTTGATATTTATTTTGAGCCAACAATCAAATTTTTGGTCCCAAAAGATAAACTACGTGGGTCTGGGAACCGAGGGATGATAGCAGGAGGGGCCCTGTCACAAAAGCTCCTGATGGTCCACTTGAGGAATTTGTTTGTTATCCCCATCACTCTACAGACTCTGGAAGAATGGAGGTCCTGGTTTCCATGGTGGGTGGGGTGTATATATCTCTACAAGGGGACCATTTAGCATCTTACTAAACCTAAAATTATGATTGTCATTGGGTCATTTTTGCCTGATCCCTGCCAGGAGTCTCTCAGGCAAAGAATGGAGTGAATGTATTGGCAAGGTGACTACCCTAGTTATCATGAGGAGCCAGGGTTGCTGTTACATAAGGTGATCAAAGAGCAGTATCTGTAACTCAGGGGATTAGTCAGGGCATGTGTTGATGCCTTCAGAATGGACCACAGCCATCTGCAGGAGATTGTAGTAATGACTGTCTGATAAGAGAATGATGACCATATATTCAGCCCCTTCAGGACAAAGGTCTGAGTGACTCCACTGGGCAAAAAAGTGAGCCAGCAGATGGGATGGTCAACAGTGAGGGAAGACTGCCTAGGTGGTAGAAGAATATAATGATGAATATCACTTAGACTCAGAAATAATGGCGTAAGGATATCTCTGGCTTGTTCCACTAACTCTTATGTAAGTAAACTTTTTAAAAAAGCAATTATAACCAGCCATCACCTGAAAAATCAATCAGAGAACTCAGAGAACTTAACATGGCAAATGGAAGGATCTCAGTGGGGTAAGGGAGACATCACAACAGATATTGCCAATGACCCACACCACCCCTTGCCCTCTCCTCTCTGTTCACACTGGCCCGACGAAAGGAACAATGATGCTTAAAGCCTGAATTTCTCTACCTTCCCACAAGGCAGCCTGTTAGAGCCAACTAATTAAAAGCCCTGGAGCAGCCCTCAACCACTGACTGCTGGGAGCTGTTCTATAAATACCTCAGCATCCTTACTCCTTTCATTAGAATAACTCTGAAGTGTATGTTTTGTACTGGATCTCAGAAGCTCCCAGAAGATTCAAATTGTGGTCACTCCTTTGATAGTTAGTTTGATTACCAGAATCTTTCTTTGTTACTTACCCACTTCCCTTCTGGTATTCCCTCCACTTAGAAAATAAACTATTTTCACTTGAGTCTTTGTCTCAGGTTCTATTTCCTGAGAAAGTCCAAACTGGGACATCTATAAAGATACTTGAGGACTATCCCACTTAATCCTGGTTTCAAAAATATTAAGAAACTAGTCCAGAGTCATTTAGCTAATAAATGTAGCTGTTGT